GCGTAGGATGGAAAATCATATTTGGACGACACGCGTGCTACTTCAAAAGAGCGCATACTTCCCCTTTCATTTGTACATCAGTAGGTTCTGGCGCGATTCTTTTTTTCACCGATTTATTCAATTTGTCCAGAAAAATGAATAACAAGAAAAGCAGAAACGGTGTAGCCTCTTTGCTGCCGTCCAAGTTGCCAGGTAAAATGAAGTAGATATAGTATTAATCTATATAAAACATCCTGATAAGAGAACATTATTTGCTCTGGCAGAAGAACGTTCTTAAAACTGAATGCTAAACTATATTTTCGTAACCTCTACGCTCTACTTCCCAGCTCCCCTCACCAATCTGTCAAGAAGTGCGTCAACATTCCGTACGTGGCGCTGATCCCGTACTTGATCGTTCCTTAAGCCGAGCACACACGATGCGTGCATTTCTGTACCGCCTCGCATGAAAAATCTAGTAACATGATAAAACTGCTGCGTTTCATCGTATAGTAAATTTCCATTTCATAGATTGATGATCTTGTGGTTAAGATTGCCTAAAAAATTCACCTTCAGTGTTGTATAGATTTTATTGATCGCGAAGCATTACAAGATGACTTGAAACGATCTTGAATATAAGACTTGACTATAGATGTGAACTGGAGATAAGCGGCATCACCTCGATTATTTTGACGTCGATTATTTCTATCTTTACGAAATCGATTATCGTATCATGTTTTGTCGTCTTGATTATTCCTTAGACGATAGTTTCTATTCAATGTTACTAGAATCGTCACTAAAAGCGTTTTCGATTGATGCCCATTTTTATCAACGTCGATTAAATCTCAATTTAAGTTCAAAATTTATTAGGTTATTAAAATTAATTATAAAAGAAAAGAAGTATTTTGTCACATAACGAAACACTTTGTGCGCTTACAGGTACACAATATCTTGTAATATCACAAAATCTTGTAATAATTCTAAAAATTGAAATTAAAATTTCATGTTATTGAAATTTTTTTTTCTAAATAAAACCAGAGTAAAATTTATTTTTATAACGCATTTCTTCTATATATAACAAATCGGATTGAATCATTTTTACAGTCATTCGAATCCAAGTCAGTCAAGAACGTTATAATTTAGACAAAATAATGAATCTAGTAACGTCATAAACGTTCTATTGGCCCGTTAAAAAAACGGGTCTGATAAAATCAACTACCTTATTGGCTCGTTGAAATAACAAGTCTAAATTTCCGAAGATGGATGAAAATGCACCAATCAGAAGCATTAATCAGCATTATTTTCATCCAGCAAGCAATCCAGCACGAAAACAAGCATCGTGTGCCGCTGGTTTTATAAATACCTAGACCCTTTATTTTGATCAGCCGGAATAACAAGTCAACATCTTTTATACCCTTTATTTAAACAAGCTCGTTCAGTATAATTCAGGGTAAATGATATATTCAGAGGTCGGTAAAACATGGATCGAGTCTCGGTTAAAATGTATAGAACAGGTAAATAGTGGTTCGAATCTCGATTAAAAAGTTGATTTTAGCAGAGAATTAAACCACAATTTACTAGCCTTCATAAAATTTAGCTCAAATCAGAGAGAAACCTGAGAGCGGCTATCGGGCCGATTACGCTTTTCCTACCGAATTCCGACGCGCCCCTGAGAAAATATGTGCACACTACATCCGTCCTGACGGTAACGGCAAAGCGTGCACAGTTCTTTTGCTCATTCTACTTCTCCTTACAAAAGATAATAAGTTAGACAAGCACAGACGATCAAACGCTCTCCGTCTTTGTCGCACCACCGATGAGCGTACGCGTGGCAGGAGGAGGCACGAGGCGAGTCAACGGCAAATCTTATCGTTAAGCCAAAATCTCTCCCGTCTTGCCCCTTCGCCTACTCATCTTTCACGCAACGTACTGCCCGCAATTCGGGAAGAAATATTTCGAAATCGCGCGAAAAATTTCTAGCAATGACACAAAATGACTCTAACAAGGGTGCCATTTTTATAATTTTTATATTCAATTTTTTCATTTTTTTATTCAATCTTTTTCATTTTTTTTCCGAAATCAATACGAAAATGAAGGCTCATCGACTATAAGTTAATTATTTGTGACAAGACGTTAATCTAGATTCGAAATAAGGATTGTGATCGCACGTTTTGAAGTTAGAAGTCACGAGAATTTGAAAAGTGACAGGCCCAGAAATTACGAGTCATCAAATATTAATTAACGAAATATGAGTGATAAAGTTTTCATCTAGACTCAAAATAACTAAGATCCTCATAAATTGCAACGACGTGGGCCTACGCGTTATCAAGAAATTGAAGCCAATAGGTCAAGATCGGTGCGAAAAGGACGAGTCACCGGGTATAAGCTGCAAAATTATTTGCGATAAGACATTAATCTAGGTTCGAAATGAGTTTGATCCGTGCAAACTGCATCGAGCTGTAATCTCGCGTTTCGGAGTTATAAGCCACGAAAGATGGATAAGTGACAGGCTCAGAAATGACATTCGGTTACGAAATATTAATTAACGAAATATTAGTGATAAGGTTTTAATCTAGGTCCAAAATAACTAAGATCCTCACAAATTGCAACAACGTGCGCCTATGCGCATTATGGAGTATTTGAAGCCGATATGTCTAAATTGATCGATACAAAAATGATGGGTTACCAAGTATAAATTAATAAACCGTGTGCAATAAGAAGCTAATCTAAATTGGAATTAACGATGATTCGTAGGTACCAAATCAGTCCAACGTTACAGAATTATGAAGTCCGAAATGTTGAAATTAATATAGGGAAAAATGATAGATCAATATAGACGTCATGGAAATATTTATGCTAATCGAAAGAAATGATGCTATTTAATTTTAAGGCAGTATAACTAATTTTCCTAAAATCCAGATTAATATAGCTTTTCGGATAGAGAGTGAGTAAAAATTTGGGGAAGTAAATATGGTTCGCTACGACACGTCGTCTGGTTAAGCGCGCGGCGACGTGAGTTCCAGGAATCGATGAGGCATTTACGCGGACAGTGAGTTCTAAGAATCGTAGAGACCTGCGAACGAATTCATTGAAAAACTGATGCTTTCGGGTTGAACGTAAAAAATTTGTTTGCTCATTAAGAATGGGTTAATAAAATGTGATTAAAGTGTAAAATGTGATAAACTATTAAGAATGAAAATATCAATAAACATTAAATGTATTCAAAATATTTAGTATTTAGTATTTCAAAATATTCAGATGAAATTTTTATGTTTTGTTTCATAACCATGATCACCTTCATCAAGTTTTTCATTGGATCATTTTTTCATCGCAAGGTAAAAACGCAATGTCGCGAGACAAGCAACTTCGAATTGTTATAGCGTGATGTACATAAAATAAACTTACCCCTCGATGGTTCTTGATGTCCCTCCTTGCAAAATATGTCATCGGGCACTTGAAATTTTTCACAACACAAACACTAAATTTAACTGTGAACAATAACAGGCCATTTTTTTCACAATACTTGATCACAACATAAATCTTAAGCAACAAACGCGCGTAATTTCACTCGGCACTCCCGATCCGATTTCGTTAATTACTTACTTTCGACTACTTGACGATACTTCGTTATGACAAATGCACGAAATTTGCTTTCGGTACTCTCGACAGAACAGTACACGCCGATATTCGCCTTTGGTAATTCAAAATCGCGGAAAATACGCATGGTCGGCTTTTGGAATTTACTACGTACTAAGTGTTGCGTACTAATGCAACGGTCGCGATTTTCAATGTGTGCGTATGTCGGTGAATACATATCACTAGCGTACTAACCAATCAAAATATTCTCCTCGAAACCGTCCGTTCCGTTTGAAATATTCCAAGAAGTCGGCCATGATAGAAAAAATTCCCGAAACTTTACTCGACTCTCCCGACGAACAATGGACATTTTCAGCGAATATTTAACGAAAGTTGTGTCATATCTCCATGTTTTTGACAATAATTCGCGGCCGAGACTCGGCTGACGAGTCGAAAACGAAGTTTCGCAACGCGGAAACCGAGCTGCCCTTAAGCCCGTGTCACACTACGAGTTGAAGATCAAGGATTGCGGATTGAAGATTGAAATTTGATCAATCGGAATAAAGCGAATCAAAACTGAAGTTCGTTGATTTGTCGAAATCTAATCTTCAATCCGCAATCCTTGATCTTCAATCCGTAGTGTGACACGGGCTTTTCGCTGAACTTTCCTCGGCATTCCGACGATTCATCTCACTTCACTTCGCGCGGCGGAACGAACGTCATTTCGCCGTAACACACACGCACGAAACTTACTTTCGGTACTTCCGGTAACGATTTAAGGCACGAGACTCAGCTACGGCGAGTCAAAATCACGAGAAATCACGCGCCACGGTCTCTCGCATATTACACAACCCGTGATCGGCGCCATAACTAAATAGGAATGCAACTGCAAACAGCGCCACAAGCGGGATACTCGGGAAGCTGAGTCGGCCAATCGCGGTGATTCATTTCTTTCCGTAGTGGAACTATTTATCTGCACAAAGTGTACGAGGTGCGGATGAAAGCAGTCGATGATAGATCGATTTAATTCCAAGCTACACGCAGTGTAAAGCAGTGTAAAGTGTATCAGACTACGGATTGAGTATTGGATTGAAATTTAACTAATCAGAGCTAAGTTTACAACGCATATGCATGTGTTTGTTTATAACTAAATATGAAAATTATAAAATTGAATAAAAATTATAAAAATGACCACCCCCGTTAGCGTCATTTTGTATCATTTTTCATCCTCCTGCCGCGCGCGTACGCTCATCGGCGGTGCGACAAAGACAGAGAGCGATTGATCGTCTATGCTTTTCTACTTTACTACCTTACTATCTTCCTTAAGAAGTAGAGTAAACAAGAACCGTGTACGCGCAAGCCATTATCGTCAGGACGGGCGTAGTGTGCACATATTTTTTCAGGGGGCGCCTCGGAAAAACATCCGGCCACCGGGCGTAATCGGCCTGGTGGCCGCTCTCGGGTCTTTCTCTGCTAAATAAACTAAATAAACAAAATTCGCAAGTAGCCTCGTTTTACTTACCTCGACGTGTACTACTGAATGCAATTACACAAGTTCGCAAATACGCCTAGATTTTATTAAATTTCTGGATCTCACAAAATTACTTAGTTCCTTATAAATGGCGATAAAGTTCGCTAGTCGTATCGCTGATACCTTATCGAAAAACGAAGATAGAATAATACTTCTCGAAGCATTGGTAGCGTTACGTTGCATGTAACATATTTGCAGTATATTTATTCACACCACAAAATACGATAATGAGAATAACTGTTGCAATTATATTTCGATCTTATATAAAAATTTGTATTTCATTTACCATCAGCAGTTAAGGTTGACTTCCAAAAAGTTCAAATTAATCGATTATTATTCGATAATCTCAAAGTTTTACCAATTATTGAAAATTGATACATCTTTAAATAATTTTTCTTTAAGGCTAACTATTTTCAACATCGCTTATCCCTCTAATGTGAACATCGTGATATTACCCACGATGAAAATTAGACATGTGGTTCAAGATATATGTTTGTGCGTATAGAGGCGCTCTGGAACAAAACGATAGTCAAATCGTGTGTATTGACGCTCTTATTGGCTTCTATTTGTTTTAAAATCTAAGATGCAAATAAAGTATACCCATGCTAGATAGTGCGAGGTTAAATGATTGTAGAACAGTACCAATAATGCTAGTCGAGATTAAATGAACACGAAATTCTTAAGAAGATAAGCCACGATAAATTAAATGTAGAATATCCACGTTATTATATTTCTTTTTCATTCTCTTTGTTATGATTAACGTATGTTTCAATATTGAAACGTTTGTCACAAGTTACCTTGTTAATATTGTGATAAAATTTTATCGTCGAAGCGACGCAAAATGCGTTTGTCCCATGTTATATCTGTAGAATATTCATTCGTATTCATGACAAATATTTAGCAGATGAATACTTTTTCTCAGAATCTATTTGTATCTTTGTTTCTGAGACACGAATGTTGAAATGGTGTTTTTTTATGGCTTGTGACAAGGTTATTGTGTTTCTTTGTGCAGATCATCTTCATGTTTATGACATAGCCAACATGGTTACCTTAAAGGATATTACCGTGGAACTTACAAAGCCTGTAAAGAATTTGGTAGATTGGAATTATCCCTTCTCAGAAGTATGTTCATAGAATGTCGATATCTTAATGTAATGAAATAATATGACAGTAACATATATTCCAAAATAACATTTTATATTATTGCAGACTCTAGAGATGTATTATTCCTTATTTAATGCCAAATGCAACAAAAGTTTTGGGGAAGCTGGACTAGTTTTGCAAAATTCTACAGCTGTATATGTACACAGAATTGATTGTCTTTGGAGTAAAATAACATGTATTAGAAATATATTTGTGGATCATCAGTAAGCATTATATTTTTAAGTCGTAACAAGTGACTAAATAATAAATATTGAATTACTTCTTTCTTTTTTTCTAGGTTCGTTGAAACCACTGACAAACAATCTAGGAAAAGAGACAAAAAGTCTGTCATAAATTTTGAAAACTTTAAAACAATCAAATTTAATGAAGAAGTAGACAAGAACATCAACATTAAGACAAACATAATGCAAAATAGTGTTAAGTCAAAAAGCCGTTATTTCACACAGTTGGAAAAAGGTATCGAACAATGTATTCCCATTGATATTTATGACATAAATGGAGAAGTTATTGGGAAGAAGTATGACTTTCGGTAAACATCTAATTATTTTTCTAGAATGTGCATAAATATTATTGCACTGGGAGAGATGATTGTCTTTTAATATTTCACAGGTGTAATCAGAATATAAGTATGAATGGCATATTAGTTGATGAATTTGCATCCAAAGGTATGCAATTATTTATGGAAAAAGTTCAACTTGAGGTTTACATTCAGCAGTATTTCATAAAAATTATCCATATTTACAGATTTTGATCGAGACAGTGATGAACCTGTTCAAGAAGACGATTTGTCGCTAAATCCAAATTGTTCACAAATCACTGAGACAATGGCATGTTCATCCAGTGCTATTGCTCACGATGATAGCGACGGAAATATAAGTAATAATTCAGAATCCGAGATGGACAACAGTGATTTGCCTGCAGAGACGTCCGATTTAATCATGTCTTTCGATTCGAACAAAAGTCTGTTTTTATCTAGTGGCATCGATACCGCGAATGAAAGCCCGTGTACGCCACTCGGTGACACGAGTTTGCCAAACACTACTGTTGATAGCGCTCGATTATCAAATAGTAATTTGGATGCTGAAGATACGAGTGATAATATCGGAACAAATGTGCATGATGGCAACGATCTACCGGATAGTTCAGCCAAGTCGTTAAATCCGACAGAAAGGTGTTTTTGATCTTCGCTATTTGCAACATCGCCCTCACTTAACGCGATCAATTCGTTATTTGAGTGTCGATTCTGGCAAGTATGACACGTATTACAGAATAATTATTATTTTAGTACCCCGCCGACGGATCCCCCGAGCGACTCAGTGTCGTCGGATAAGACGAGCGACAAAAAAGCGGCGCAAACGAAATCGCCCAAGACTCGCACGCAATACAAACCATCAGCCAAGAAGTCGAAGTCCGCATCAAAGACCGTACGTAATTTGGAAGTTGTGACGTCGCTACGCTTTCGTCTAATCATTTTTTCTTAAAATCATTCGTCATTTATTAACAGCGTAAGGCAAAAGTGATTGTCAAGACTCCGAAGAAAAAGGGACACGCAGTGAAGAATCTACTGAATGAATTCCAAAAAACGAATCCATCAGAAGAGAACATCTTGGAAGAATCGACGGTACAGGAAACAGGTAAATCCACACTGATGTGATCTGCGCCAAAACGATAACATAAATTCACCATCAGTTCGCTCGTGCTGAATTACTCGTCTTCCAGACAGACTAAGCATGTTCCAGAAGGACCTAAGTACCTGCATGAAATACATACGGGAGTACGATCCTCTGCAGTACGATCATATAACGAACTCGACGTTAGACTTCTTAGGCTTCCAAGTGCACGTTGTCGAGTCGAACATCATCGCATGCAACGATGCGAACGATAACGCAGCCTTGGCCGACGACGAGATGTCTGAATGTCACAGCCCTGTTCTTGCGTCTCCGATGCACGAGAGTTCCGGCGACGACTGGTACAGATCAGACTCGCCGAATTTGCTGCCGGTAAGCGTCCGGACGAGGGCAACGCACCTATGGGACGACGAGGTATTTCAGTGGAATCTGCGAAAAGCTGATCGAACAAATCACGTTTCCTTCAGGAGAACATCGAGAAGTGGCACGAGTTGCTGCAGCCGAGGTTGCTCGAGGCCGAGCAGAGGTCGACGTTTCGCATTAGCGACTACACGTCGCAAATCATGGAGCATCTGCGAAACAGCAGTGAGTCGAAGGTCACTTTCGACAAAGTCATTCCAAAGGAGAAAACCAGCGAAGTGACAAGATATTTCTTGGCGTCGTTAGACTTGGTGAGACGCGATTACTTCGAACGAGGGTGACATTTTCGATTTGCAATTTGAGCGTATCTTCGTTGTCCGTAGGCTGCGCGACAAAACGTGGATCTAACAATGGATGAAGATCTCGAACTCAATATACAGTTGATTGTGCAAGAAGATAGACCTAAGAAGGCGACTATCAGACAGATTATTGTGATTAATGAATAAATATATTTTAATGTTAAAATTTAATGTTAAGATTTTTGTATATATGTATGATATGTTGATCATATCGGGAACAAAGAATGTTTTACTGTCCTGTGATATGTATACTAATATAAGCGTATTCATCCAACAAAGACTCGTTTGTCTTGAATATTGCTCTTTCTCTCTCTCTCTCTCTCTCTCTCACTCACTCGGGCCTATATATGTGTACTTGTTTGCAAAACGGTTTGAACACATTCTTTTCTGATAGAGTGTCAAATGGTCACGACGATCGCGAGCCGCTATTTATGAACCAGCATCGCAATCCGATACGATAGAAATTGAAGGATGATAAGTAGGAAAGGATTTCTGTCTTCAGCACGAAACAAGCACATAACGTTAAAGGACAGAGAAACCAAATTCGAGAGCAGTGCTAAAAGTCTGGCCAAAAAGAATAAGCCTAGCATACGAGACACCCGATGTTACAGTTGCAACGAAAGACTCAACCTAAGCGTAAATATCTTTGTTATATTATTGTCTATCAGAAAATGTGACAGTGGTTGTGATCGTTTGGCGCGCTTCAAACTTCATCGGGAGAAAAATGCGTTCGAACCGTCTCGCAAACAAGCTGACATATTTTTTGCGCTCCCGTTCACCGTTCACCGAATTCCCGAAAGAAGAAAAAGAAGGAAAGACAAAAAAATAGAGAAGAAGAAAAAAAAAGAACTCCCTCTCTTCTGTTGATTGCAACGTTCCGCGATTCCACACTGAGCCGCGCGGCCTCACACACAGGAGGAGGCCTCACACACGCGCGAGGAGTTGTAACGAGGAGTTGTTACAGAACGAGAAACGCTTACAGCGTGAGATTGATTTTTTTTCTTTCATCAATCGAGACTGGAACGCGCCCCATTAACACCGGGGTTGCATTCGTCGTCGCCGTCGTTGTCGACGTCGTCGGCAATAGCATACATCGGAACAGTGGCGGCGAAACAAAACGAGACGCGGGTATAGCAGCGTGCATTCACAAACGCCGTCGCTCGCGCCGCACACACACACACACACACGCACGCACACACCATCGCCACGCGACGACGCACACACGTGCGTATGACAATTGGCCGTGTGTAACACAGAAATGCTCACGCATGCGTCCTGTGGGCGAGCCGACGGCAGCCGGCTCACAGTTTATATTAGTTTACATTAGGACAGGCACCGCAAACCATAGGCTGCTATAAATCGCGTTTTCGTTAACGCGCCCGCGACTGCATCGCGCAATTTTATCGCGAGCGATCGTCACACGCGAGGCTCAATCGCGGCCGCCTGACGCCCCTCGGTATAGTGCGTGCGTTTTTCCTCATCGCTACCACCGGAAAGGATAAGAAGAAGCCAGTGTTTGAAAAGAAAGAAAAAGAAAATTAAAAAGAAGAAGGAAAGAGAGAGACGAGGACAGAAGAGGAGGAGGCGAGTAATTACGCGAGGAATTACGATGTAACGCGATTACGGCGATCGGCAACAGTGAAATCGACGTGAAAAGACGGCGGCAGGAGGAGGCGCGGAGGAGGAAGAGGAGACGTTACAGGAGTTTAATATAGAGAGCCAATTCGAGTTGATGGTAAGCAATCAGACGGCACGGATATCTATGCTCTCTCTCTCTCTCTCTCTCTCTCTCTCTCTCTCTCTGTCTCGCGCGCGCGCGGCAGAGATATTCAATTGAAATAGTTGGGCCCCGCCGGCGCGGCGCGCGTCTTACGCGCTAACGCTGCGCGGCTACGCGCATATCGGTCGGACGTATCAGTCGGTCTGCCGATGTCCCGGCAATTGTTGTCGATTAACAATCCCGACGACGAGCGACAGGCGAGCCGAGCGCGTGGCGATTGAAGTGGCCTGAGCAGCGGCGCTTTCAAAAAGCTCGGCGCTTTCCGCGTCGCGGAGGCGCACGCGGTTTCGCTTTCGAAACGGGAAATTCATCGATCGCGCGTCACCGAGAGAACGCGGCTCTCTCATTTGTCTCTCGCCTTTCGCTCACCCCCCCCCCTCCCCCCGTTTCGCTCCCTTCTCCGGCTTTTCATCGCGTTCCCTTCGAGTCGTTCGTTCGGCCGCCCGGCGCAATTTAAACATAAACACGACTATTTCAGACGTGACGACTTCTTGCGCGCGCGGGGATAAAACACATAGACGGCGACATGAACAGCAAGAGTGCATTACTGGTGCAACGTTGGATGCTCCAGCCGCGCGTGCTGCTCGTTCTCATTTTGCTGCAATTTATCATACAGTTTTTCACGTCCGTCTATCTGTACAAGTACGTGACGAACGTGGAGAGCGATCTTCGCCTGGTAAAAAGCCGCTACCCGCTCGAGGGCGCGGCGATTCCGCGGCGGAAGCGCAGCAGCGCATTACCGATCGCCGAGGACAACGCTGTTTCCGATCTCTCCAGCAGGGTACGTAAACACGCGTGAGGGTAAAACACGTGAGGAGGGGGATCACGCTCTCGAGAGGAGAGGTCGATTGACTCCAGATCTAAGACTCCAAGTCTAGAAAACCGACTAAAAAAAGACCGCCTGAAATAGATTTGGAGTTCCGCCCGCAATCGGGATTCTATTCTTCGCGGTGAAGAAATGCTGAGAGCGTCTTGGAATATATATATATATATATATATATATATATATATATATCTGATAATATATAAGTTTTCGCGGGGGAAAAGTAAGATAAGAGAAAAAGAGGAGTCGGGAGGAGACGTCGCGGGCTCAGAAGGAGACGGCACGAAACTTCACGCAAGATAAAAGAGAGGTATCTTAACCCTTTAACGTCTACTGGTAACTATATAGTTACCAGAAACGCATTTAAGAGTCCATAACTTGGTCAAAAAAGGAGATATTTTCGTTTCCTTTGCACCACTGTAAAGGTGAATTCTTCTTCTAAACAATGGTATATAGATTGTACGTAGATTCGGTTTAGTCTGCTTTTAGCTCGGTTTTACTTTTAGTAATGATAACATGTTTTGTCAAATTCCAAGTAGGCATAGTCAGCATTGTTACTGACATCTAGAAGTGCGCTACAAATGAATAGATTGGTATCTGTTATAATTTTGTACATTTGGAAGCTTTCTCAGATGCAAAATGTGAAATTAAAAGAATACAGAAATTCAAAATGGCGAATCCAAGATGATGGACACGAAAATCAAGAAATCAGCCTATTTTCGTGAAACCTGGTGACCTACAGTTTTTTATGCGGCGAAAAATGTAGAGACGATTGACTATCTAAATGGTGGATCTATAAGATATTCTTTCGAAACAGTAAGCTTGACGCTCTGAATGATAAACTTCACTCACAAATATAGTAAAAAAGTTTCAGCTCAAAAACGTCAAGCTAACTATCAGAGTTATGTCGTATAGATTACCCTTCATTTTTCTCTGCATAGGTTGCTCATTTCGTATATGCTTTTAAAATCCAAGTCATATTTACCAATAAACAAAAAACGAACGATAAAAGAAACCGATATAAAATTCTGATATTCTTTTTGGTTATCACTACTTATAGTCCCAGCTCAAGAAAGACTCAAATTTTATTCTTAAAACTCTGGTAAAAAAGTCGGGCGTTAAAGGGTTAAGGGAGGAGAGATTATTTCAATTTCGTGGTCGAGAAGTGAAGTCCGGCCCTTCGACTCGCCGAGGTTTCTTCCAGCAATCAAACGCCTGGTCTCCTCTTAGACTTTTGAAATTTCTGAACGCCGGTCGCGCTAATCTCACGAGGTCGCCGCTCGGTCGTAGATTCGAGAGGACAAGGAGATGCAAGGCGCCAAGAAGGTGACTGCATCCCCCATCATGGTGTCCGGCTCCGCGTCTTCGTCGTCTTCCACGGCGGCCGGGGGTCAAGACTGGGTCTGGCTGAACGCCGACACGCGCATACAAGTGAGTGCTCTGCGATCGTCGATGTTATTTCCACGACGCGTCCTCCTCATCATCGTCCGCGAGCTCGTCGCGTCTCTCACGTTGAAGTTCAATTCGACATCAGCTCCTCTGCGGGATATCCTGCTCCTGTGTACGAGGCATCGCGTGTACATGTCGAGCGCCTCGAAGCCCGCGACTTTAATCTAGCCGGCTGATTCCCTCAGAGTCAATTTGGCGTTAACTTTTCCGAAGGCGAAAACGTCGAGGCATCAATAGCTTCCGGGATGCGGATGATTGAAAAGGCGGAGCCAAAGTTCTGGCGAGCCAAAGGACAGAAGCGAGATTACCTGACAACGTTATTTTCTCCGATAAACTCCTCTAGACGACAAAATGACTTTATTTGATTAATTTCGCGTGGGATTTACCTTGCCGGAAACTTATTCCCGGTAATTTGAGTCACAAAGATGTGTTACGTCGAAAGAAAGGCAAAAGTCTCGCTCCATTACAATAATGACCGACATTCTCGACATTTTCGACGAGGGAAAATTGTCCGTAAATTGGCCGGAGAACCTCTAAGTAAAATTAAAGCCGCGGCTCCTGAGAGGCCCTGTACACGTATACATGCGCGCATGTGTGTACCTTAAAATAGGTTAGGTACCTTAAAATAGGTATTAAATATCCATCCGCCTTCGTGGAAGTTATGTACAAAGAAGAATTCGTACAAACGCGAACAAAAAGGCGATGCGAAGAAGAACTCGCGTTCGAAAGTAAAATTCATGTGCGACACGAGAGGAGGAAGACTGGCTCAATCATGCAACGTAAATTACGTATAATGTAAGTTATGATGTGAGATCAATAATAAGAAAATAATTGGACACGTTCGCTACCGACGTTTTCGTCGAAGGAACCACCCCGTACTGTTTTGCTTTCGATAACGGTGTAAAAAGGCATTTATTAGGCGGGACGTGGAGGGCCGGGGGAGGGGAGGGAAATGATCGCAGGTCACACATATGTAACTGTTCGCCCCTCGCGAGACATCAGCGCGTCGCGTGTGTGCGTAACGCGTGTCACAAATACGGTAATTTAAATAATTAGTAGCAGCAATTACCGGTGGCGATTAATTTTACCGTTTGGTCCCGGCCAGCTGAAAAAATAAAACTAACGAATGTTCTGTTAATTCTCAACGATCCGGTGAGTTAACACTCCATTGGTGATCTATCCGTGGCTCGGCCGTTCCTCTTGCTTTTTTCGGGAGCGGAACCGACCGACTGAGCGTCGCCGATCAAGCGTCGGCGAGTACCCGAAGATGCGCGCCCTCGAAGCACCCTCCGTGTACCCTGCAATTTCAGTTCGACGCGATCGAGAGTTTCTGCCGGTCGTCCTCCAAGTACTGCCCGCCGGGGCTTCCTGGAGCACCCGGAAATCCAGGCCCGCCCGGCGAGCCGGGACTACCAGGTGCTCAAGGACTGATGGGACCCAAGGGACCACCGGGACCTGGGGGGCACCCAGGCGCGAGAGGACCGAAAGGCGACATCGGCCCACCGGGCTTCGACGGAAGGGATGGTATACCGGGTGAGCCCGGTTTGGATGGCATACCCGGCAGGAGCGGTCTCGACGGCGTACCCGGGAGCAACGGCAAACCAGGTGTCAACGGCTCACCCGGCCTGCCTGGAAGAAACGGGACGGACGGTGCGTACGTTTGGACGTGGGGTTATCCTGAGCAAAACGCTGAGCAAAGCAAGTTCGTTGTCTCTCGCGCGACATTTGCCTCCGATCAGCCTGTTAAATTTGCATATGGAACACGCGAGACACGACGAAGTCGATATCCAAGAGATATTTAAAGACTTGCAACTTTCTCTCTCTTTCTCTCTTTCTCTCTTTCCTGATAATACACTGATGGAAAAATATAGTTGAATTAACTATAATCTCACTATATTTTATGGTTCATTTTGGCGTCAACCATATTTTTTATAGTTGCATAGTTGATAGTGGAGCCTGCAAAATATAGTAGAATAAACACAAATATATAGTCAATGATTGTCTTAAATAATTGTTTAGTTATTTTTACCACATATATGGTAATTTCTCACTCACAAATATAGTGAGATTTAATATTCATATAGTTACATCTGTCATCATTTAGCAAATATTCTGGTAATATTGACTATATAAGAGAGTTACTTTACCTGCCACTTTATATTTGTATCCATACAATAATTTTAGTTTAACTCACTATAATTCTTAGTAAAAATATTGTATGCTTGGTTACACTATGCCTATATCGTAATTATTATGGTAATACTTACTATAAATATGATATTTCGGACTATAATTTAATTACTGTATCATTATAGTTCCAAATATCATATACTTTTCTCTCTCAGTGTAGTAGGCGATGAGGTAGGTTAGATTGGTGCATAAAGTTCGTCGTGTCTGTCAAATAAAACACAAAAGACGCTTCTTAGATGTCTGAGAAAATACCGAGTTGATTTTATTCGTGAAAACTGTTGATCTTTCTTAGACGGGGCCTCGTTTTCCTTCTAATTTTCTGCGGAGATTTAATGGAGAAACGACGAATCTTTTGCAGCAACCCGGTCAGTCAATCAAGCGCGGCTGATCGAGAGGCAAATGGGAAACTTGGCGGTTTTATAATTTCTTCGTATCTTTGTGACACGAATGTGAAGCATGTTAGCTCGCGGAATTATTCCGCATTGATTTCGTACTTGTTTAGGGAGACCCGGTCAAATGGGACTTCAAGGACCGCCAGGGCAACGAGGTGAGTAGAATCCGACTCTCTCTCTCTCTCTCTCTCTCTCCCTGCCCTTACACCCACACACTAAATGAACATTGTACATTTCAGGAGATCAAGGTCCGCAAGGTCGCACAGGGCCGCCGGGAAGGGACGGCGAGCCAGGTGTGCAAGCCTGGAAAGTGAACAACAATGATTACGTGAACGTCAATGACGTATTGATCCCGCCATCCATAGTGGGTGAGAATTATTGATTTAAGTTCCCGGCTGACTTCACGCTGAACTCGCGCTCAAACGCGCTTTCAATGCCAAAACTACAAGCCACGTTCTCGAAAATCTCCGACGATCGACCCGACTGACGCACTCGCGTACGGTACTCGTATCCCCTTCCCTGGAGAATTTCCTCGAGGAGGAAAGATCGCTTCTACGTGGGTGATGGCTACCCCGTGGTACACCCCGCGTGCGTTGAAAGTCTGAGAAATAAGCCCGACCGTCGCCCGATCCTGAGAAAGGTATAAATAAAAACACCCCCTTTTCCCCGACGATACAAGCGTAAGATACAATCAAGTCGCGATTCCTCAATTCTCCTGCATCTTCGCGACACGCGTTCGCAAGTTTCATTAGTCCGCGAGAGAGATGCCTGCTGCATCGACTCGTTCGGAAAGACCCGGCAAAATCTTCCAAACCGTCGCACTTCCAATAACCCAGCGACGGTCCTCGTTGAGCCATCGCCCCTACCGACTGTTCGCCTCGGAGCTACCTTGGAAAACGGGCTGTTTCAGAGATTACGCCGCCGCTGAACGCGAGCGACGTGATTTCCGTGCAAGAAGGCAGCAACGTGCGGCTGAGGTGCGCCTCAAGTGGGAAGCCGCAACCCGTCATACAGTGGTCGAGAATCGGCTCCGTCATACCGATGGGCGCCTGGCATGGTATAGTCGTTTCTCTCTCTCTCTCTCTCTCTCTCACTCTCGAAATTTGCCCATGAGCCGAGCGGCGATGCTAATGAGTCTTCAAATGTGACGCTGCTTAGTGAGCTCCATCACGGGCCACACGTTCAATATCAGCGTGGTGAACCGGGACCACATGGGCGAGTACGCGTGCAACGCCGACAACGGAATACCGCCTGCGAGGTCCAAGAGGTTCAGACTTCAAGTCAGATGTAAGCGTCCGAGAGAAGAGTCGCCGTTCGGCCGTAGTCTCGGCACTTCCCAGGGAACTCGTACTTCTGTACCCGGCTGTCCCCGATATTATTCGTATGATTGTTTACACGCATACATTACGCCCCCGTAATTCCACCTGACGAGGTGTTATCGCGCGCTCTCCGCCGTCCGTCCTTTTGTCTCAACTTGCCGCGGCGCCTCGGCTTCGGCACGTACAATCCGGACAGAACTTGCCGGAGAATTCTATATCGGCGCAAGACACACCGATGTCCCTCGGATATCAAATATGAATGATACGATACATGCCGCTCGGATGATGACGATATTTTCGCCGGATCAATTTTTCGCGAACGCGCCGTACGACGAGGATGAGCGCGTCTCCCGCGGGTCTCGATATTATCAGACAGCTCTGCCGGAAGAACCGATCCGGAAGCGGGCGGCTCGAGAAGCGCCGGATGTGGATGAAATTGATAATCGATCGTGTTCCAGTTGCGCCTTTCATTCGCATACGCAACCAGATGATTCTCGTGCGAAATCAGAACCCGGCGACGTTGGAGTGCGAGGTGGAAGCCTTCCCCGAGCCGGCTGTGCACTGGGAGCGCGACGGCCGCCGCTTAAAGATGTCGGAGAAGTACAGAATAGAGGTTTACGACAGACGCGATATATACAAGGTAATTCATGCGACTTTCGTATCCACGGGATCGAATCTGCGTTCGCATTTCTCTCCTTTGCCGCGATCTCCCGCGACTCCTTGTGGACCATCGTGGAGAAAAGAGGAAGGAAGCGTCGGCAATTTTAACCACCACCGATCGCAACCAAAATAATATAAAAATGAGTTCGCACTCGATTAAAAATTTCTATTAATTAGGAAAAGAATTGCCGGCTCTCTCGAGAGATAAATAAAACGAACGGCGTCGCCTGGCTGTTTCTCTCAGACGTCTCTATCGGCGATTTCCCGGCTTGCTTTTTTAATACGTTTTTTTTTTCTAAACGCTCGCTACGAGAATCTGACGTAAAAGTGACGAGCCTTTCGCGTCAAGTCGACGATCTGTAACGCTGTTCTGTTAAAAAGTTGAAGACGAGGCTGAGGATCATGAGGGTGACTTCGGCCGATCATGGCTCTTATCACTGCGTGGCGAAGAACGACATCGACACGATCAAGGGATCCTTTATGGTGGATGGTTTGTCTCACTTCATATTGCACTCGCTAAAATATCCCGCCCCCTCCCCCCTAAAAAACCTACGCGATTCTCACTAATCGCTAGCAACGCTGAGCAAAAAGCAGAGCGACGAGATTTCGCTCTTCCTTTTGACTCGCCGCGTTTGACCGCGCGCTTTAGCGGCGTTCTCGGCTGGCAGGAAGCCGTGTCGCAAGTAGCTGAAGAGATAAAATGAAAGTAAAGAAAGAAAAGTAAAACGCGGCGGAGAGAGAGAGAGAGAGAGAGAGAGAGAGAAGAGCGCGTCCGTCTCGCCGCGCTCTTCGCCGCGGATTCGACCTCCCGCCTTCGGATTTCCCGATTTCCCTGTAATTCCGCAATTTAGCTCGCCGCAAATCCCCCGTCCGATCTATCGGTGTTCGCTTCCCCGAAATAATAATAATAACGCCCCCCCCCCTCTCCCGTTACCGTCTCCCGCAACTTCCCAATTAATGGCAACGAATGCCGTTGCTGCAGACGACACTAAGAACATAGAGCGGCTGAAGTTGGGCAAGCAGCAGCACGTTACGTACGGCGAGCCCATGCCTGCGAGCGTTGATCAGGAGGAATTATGCAGTCCGCAAGAAACCTGCGCAGCATGCCCGGTACTCAAGTGCGCGTACACAGACATAGCGGATCACATGCACGTGCAGCCGCTGCGCGGCGTTAACTTCACCGGGCTGCCGCCGTCCTTCGCCGGTACGTGCGCCAGTCAATTTCACCGACGTATTCTTTAGCGCGGCTCTGTAAGAGACAGAGAGAGAGAGAGAGAGAGAGAGAGAGAGAGAGAGAGAGAGAGAGAGAGAGAGAGTGAGGGGGGGAGGGAGGGAGCGAGGAACAATATCGGCGAACTAATTGGCGAGGTACGCGAAACCGCCGTGCGAGCGACGCGCGACGAACACGTCACGTTCGCGCGTCGACGTACGCGCGATTCCGATCCGACGCGGGAGCGGAAAGTTTGACAAATTTTTATTGGCGTATGAGAAGCCTTACTGGCGCCAGAGGCGGCAGGCAACGGCTTCTCGCCGCCGGCCGCGCCGCACGAAAAGCATTCGTCACTTCGAGAGTAAGCGAATGAAAGGAAAGAGGGAGGGTGGAAATTGACGACACTTTGCGCATTTTTTAATCATTCGTCTATTTGCGTCCCTCTCTCTCCCCCCCCCTCTCTCTCTCTCTCTCTCTCTCTCTCTCTCTTTCCCTCTCCCCTCCTCCTTCGAACACACATGTACGTACGATACTTTTATGATATGTGCATATAGGGTGAGAGAGAGAGAGTGAGAGAGAGAGAGTGAGAGAGAGAGAGAGAGAGAGAGAGAGAGTAGGGAGAGAGAGAGAGAGAGGAGGAGTCAAGTGTAGAGCGGGGCCACGTTAATGAGCGAAAAGTGAGGCGTCGCGACGCCGCGGGAATTGATGTAATTAACGAACTAATGCACTCGCCGCGCATACACGAGTGTCCGCGATCTCGCGAGAGACTGAGAAAGCAAACTTTTCCGCGTCAACACTCCAGCGGGACTCGAAAGTTCATAAACTGACGTCGCTGAATTCTCTCAGACGGCATGATAGAGGCCGTGGGCAAGCCTGTGCTGAAAGGAAGCATGGACGACTATTATGGAAGCTGGATGCACGACGCCGCCTTCCGTCACGACAGCACGCCCGATAGGCTCTGGGTCACTCGCAAGAACGACACGTCCTACATCTTCGAGTACAGATCGAAGGACTATTTCAAGAACGACACCGGTCGCCGTATAAAATTGCCGCATCCTTTCCAGGTCAGAATTTCTGATTACCACGCGAACGACGAAGGACAAAAGGAGAGAGAGAGAGGGAGAGAGAGAGAGAGAGAGAGAGAGAGTTGCACGATGAGAATAAGACAATCAGTTTCGTCACGGGACGATCTTGACGTTTAGGTCGAAGACCGAGATCGAATGTCGCGCATTAAACTCGCATTCTTTCTTCAGGGTAACGGACACATCGTTTACAACAGGTCCTTCTTTTACAACCCTCAAAACCGATCGACGATCTTCCGCTTCGACCTCTACTCGTCTTCGGAACAAGGCTGCGACGAGTGCGAGATACCGCTGCCGGGCTTGCTGCTGAACACTCAGAATTTCCTTTACACGCCGTATCACAATTTTAATTACGTGGATTTCAACATGGACGAGAACGGTGAGCCGGCAAGCGGCGTCAGTTATGCCATAACGTCAATTATACGGGCCCTCCGCTCGGTTGATAATTGACCGTAAAACTAGGCGAAATTCGATCGAGCATCGTCATATTGTCGAATTACG